GCTGTATCGCACACCCCAGACTCGACTTGAGTGGAAAATGAATCATCCACGGTTGTGCGCCCACTGGTTTGCACATCAGCAAAGGTGCTTTTAGGAGTCTAACTTGCAAGCGCCAGACCACTGATTCGTCAAACCTGCTTTCATACAGTCCGTGTTCTTCTTACTACCGTATTTTGTAGTAACGAATATAGTGTTTTTTGAACCTTAAACCGCATAAACACATTTCATTACACCAAATACACAAAATAATGTTCTTTTTAGCAACATCATATGACCCCTTTAATTTTACTTAACATTATTTTATTTATCCATTATACTGTAGAGACCTTTTTGAAAGATAATAGGCTCGTTTGAGATGAGCAAAATCTGCGCAGAATTAGAATTTTTCTAATGCCGGTTAGAAAAGTGTCCGAGTTACGTCCGACTTGCTCTGATGTCATGCTGACGTGTGCCAAAAAGCTCTCGCGACAGCGAGGCGGCTGTGTCAGATTGTGCAGTCGAGCGCAGTTGCTCTCCACCGACTGCGCTGATCAAAAGCATGATGGGAAACGACTGACTGAAGACACAGCTTAATGCTCATTGGTTCAGACAGTGATGCTGCGTTCTCTTCTAAAATGTTTTATTTTTTTATCTGGTTCCATGTGATTATATGTATTTAAATTATGTATGAATGTTCCCAAACACTATGACAGCAGTGGCGGCTCGTGGGTTTTAAAATAGAGGAGGCACATTGTATTGGTCTGGGATCCCTGCCGATTATTATTATTATTATTTGCTTAACCACTTTAAAATGGCTTTTTGGTTGCTTTTAGTCAGAAAACGTAAAGAAAAGGACACACATACAGCAAGATAATATAATTTCACTTACCTGGCCTATCACTTGAAGCAAACATCCATCCCCCTCACAAATCAGCTCTTTCTTGTTTTTGTTTCATGCTCTCTGTGCCTTGCCCTGGACTTTTATGTCACTTCCTGTCTCCCGTGGTGTTTGTTGTCCGTTTGTTCATTGGTTCCCCTTGATTAGTCTCCCCAGGTGTGTCTTATCTTGTTAAGCTTGTTAGCCCCCCTGTGTGTATATATAGCCCTAGTTTTTCTTTAGTTCCTTGTGAGTTGTTGAATGTAATGGTTGTTTGTTTGCCAGTCATTCTGTTCTTTGTTCCCTTTGGTTTTTGCCTTATTGTTTGTTCTAGTTTTTCCATGAAATACCAGCACATAGATCCTTGCCTCTGCCTGTTTTCTGCAGCTTCTCCACAACGTTACAATTTTTCACTGGCATGTCTCTTTGACTAGTGCCTCTTTGAGCCTATATTTAGTATAAGTAAAATACTTAAGTACTGTACAAATCAAATACTCTGACTTTTACTCAAGTTGTTTTGGAATTGCTGACTTAACGTGTAGTGGAGTAATTTTCACTAAGTTATCTGTACTTTTACTCAAGTATGGTTTTTAGGTACTCTTTACACCTCTGCCATTACTCAAAATATCTGGGACTGAAACTCATAAACTTTCAGTTAGCATATTAGATTTTAAGTGCAAGGCTACTCTGACCACCCTAAATAAAGGTTTATTATCATATGCAGTTTAATAGATTAAATTAGTATACTGAAATGTGAGAGGACAAAGGAGGGGTAGAGTTTTTATTTAAATGTATTTAAATACTACTGAACTATGGGAGTGTTTATTGTCTTTATTAACTGCACAACTGTTTACTTAGATGAATGGAGAAAAAAAATCCAACATTTATATTTATTATTATGCTATATATTTTACGTAAGTATTTTATTATGCCAATAAAATCTTCAATATGGCAGTAATGTAAAGCATGTGTTGATGTTATACTAATAATAACCACTTGGTGGCAGCATTGACTCGCCTCACGATCGCATCACAACGACATTTACATCTCCGTCGCTGACATCACTGGTGTCTTCTAGTTTTCATTGTTTAGAAGTAATGTATTTGCAATGCATTTGCTGAAGGAAAAGTTAAATTTGTCCATCATATTAAAGCACTTCGGTAACATGAGAGGGTCGTAGTTTTATAAACATTATTCAGGCTGTGCAATGTATGTTATCTGTTTCGACAGAAAAGAAATAAATAACGAGTATCACGCCATAAATGTTCCGCCCTGAAAATATCTCTTGAAAGCTGATTGGTTAAGGAATTTGGCGCTGGGGAATGATGGACGTGTTCGGTCGAGATAAGGGCGGGACCAACAGTCCTTTATGCTGAAATGATGATTTACTGCATCGTGTTACTTATGTGAACGTTACAGATCACATTTCAAAGCGAACTGAACACAGATTCATTTGAGAGAGGGCGAATTTGATTGAAAACCCTTTATTTACTTGCAGGTTCAATAATGTCTGTATCTATAATGCCTGTTCTCTCTTCCTCCCCTTGCCCCCTCCCTCAGTCTCTCTGGGTGTAAACAAAGCCGAAGTGGGTCATTTGTCGTGGTATGATCTAGTAAAGGTTCCGCATCCCTGACGCATCACGTAAAGAGTCGATGTAACAGGCATTAATACCACAAAAGAAATTACACAAAGCCATAAACGTTGCTCCGAGGCATAGTGGTACATTGACTCATATTTCCAGACTGACGATTGACAAGCTATCCATATCCGACATCTGCCTTGACAAGAAAAGGATCTTCGGTGTTTTGTTGTTATTGGGGTTGCCACGAAACTAAGAAAACGCTGATTGAGCTAACGTTACACAAAAGAGTAAGGATGCGCTTGCAGACTCAAGGAGGGGGGATTCTTTTCTCAACCGTTTTTTTTTTGACCGTTTCAACACGTAGCATGAGCAAGAGGCGTTGGTACCCAAACCAAACCTCCCCACGCCCGGTCTGAACCGGTTCGGGGGCAGTGCGCGCTCCTGGAGACTCCCTCCCTTCTCCCTTGCTGAAATTCCTGCCACGCGCTCACACACACAACACAAAAAAATCTTACCAGAGAGCGAGCGCGCGCGCGCGCGCACCCGCGCATACGTCACCCCTCCCCTCTGCCTCGCTCACTCAGCATCTCCCATTGGCTCCTGCGGACATCTCGAGCCTCCTCTTGTTATCGTCTCTTATTGGTTCGCGGTGAGGACTCTGTCCTGTGATTGGTCGATGCGAGTGCGAGCCCTTCTCGCTCATTGGCTGGTGCGGGCCGTGCATGAGCGCGAGGGAAAGAGTTGTAAACGCAAAGCGCGTGCTGGAAAAGCCGAGGCGTAGGGCTGAGAGCGCAGCGCGAGCACCGGAGACCAGCAGGGGCATCTCTCGTCACAACATCCAGCCTCTCATCCACCCGCTCTCCATTTATTCGCGATTTTTTTTTCCGTTTTTATCGTTGAAGCCTGAATCGTAGGAAGCGATAGGGCCCGAGTTCCGCAGCGAGGCTTTTGTTAGCCCGTGTTGGGGGCAGCTACTGTTGTCCCTCAGCGGGGGAGCGCGTTATCATCTTTAGGTTATTTGGGAGGCAAAACCGCAGCCTTTCACCGCGTGTTCGTTAAATATCGATTTTAGGTGTGTTGTTGCGTAATTTCGGATCTGGTAAAACCGGATTACCTGGGATTTTTTTTTAAAACAGCGTCGCGGGTCTTTGTGTGGCTTCTGCTTCGTGTCCCTGTTTGCAAGCTACCAGAAGTTCCGCACTCCGAGCTCCAAAACATGTGCTCCCGGGTGTGGTTTATCACAGACCGGCGGATCAGCCAGGAGTACCCGCAGGTCCAGATCCTGCGAGCTCTGAAGGAGCGCTGCGCCGAGGACGATGTTGAATTCCGCTATCTTCTAATGGATGAGATCGTCCTGACCATCACGGATGGACAGCTCGGTAAAAACCGCACACATACATATACATTCACAAACGCATTCCTTCTGTACGAGCACGGAAATAGTTTTGTGTTTAAACTGTTGAGTTGGCTAAATAATTGGTCAGTGTGGATGGTTAGCGCGCTTACATTGAGCGGATGTACATCACCGAGTGAGCGTGTTTTGTGTAGATGTGCGTGGGGTGACCGCCTAACCCACTTTCAGCCAGTCAGCCACCACAGCCTAGCCGATGGATGGAAGGCCGTTTAAAATCGTTGAGAAATTGTTATCTTATATCGAACATTTGATATCTAACGTTAATCTAAATACTGACGTGAATGTGTTTATATCAGCGTTTATTGTTGCACCATGTGCGCGCGGGACAGTCACGAGCGTACGGCGCGAGCACGTTCATTATCAACACATAAAGCGTCGAGCGCAGATGGCGCGACGTTCACAAAGACCCGTTATATTAAGGTGTTACACTCTTTATAATTTTGGATTTTTATCTTTTTTGGGTGTTTATATTCAATGCACAAGCTTTTATCCAGTAGATTAAACTGAGATGTTATGACGCATTCGCGCGAGATTCCACATACAAAGGGCTTGCGTCGCAATAATCGATTCGCCACGTGTCAACATCGACTGAAATACGATTTTTAAAACGTTTAATCAGTCGGAGGAAGTCTGTACCGTCGTTTAGACGATTATTGTTGTAATAGCATCACGGTTTGGTAGCCATACTAAAGATACAGATATTGTCTAATGAACTTGAGGTATCCGGGATGCTCAAAAGATACACACACCTATATCGAATCCTCTTAGTCATGGATTAATCTATCTTGTTTTACCAGTTTAGTTTTTATATTAACTTATATACTTAACCACTTGAACATCTGAGACAGCAGTGGTTTATACCAAAGATGATTTCAGGTCACTTTAAGACCTAGTGTGTGAATTTGGAGCCTGTAGAACCCACTAGAATATGAAGAAAACATTTGTGGTGGTCATGCCGTTTAAGTTAAATGGACAGTTCATAAAAACATCTTTAATTTAATCGCCCATATGTTGTTCCAAGCTGATTTTCTTCAGTGGACTACAAAAGGAGATGGCAGCCTGAGTCACCATTCACTTTAATTGCATCTTTCTTTCCATGCAATGCAAGTGAATGGTGACTGAGTTGGTCATTATGCTTATCGTCTTTTTGGAAGCAAGACATATGGGTTTGGAACAACATGAGGGTGAGTAAATGATGGTGATGTTTTCATTTTCATCTTAACTGTTCCTTTAATAATCAGCTGACAGCGAGTTGCAAAGTGTTTCATAAGACAATGATCTGAGTCATTGACACCAGTGTTGCCATTGTGGGTGGGTGGGGCTGTTTTGCTTTGAGGTGACAGCATTTCTTTTAGGGGCGGCAGATGGGGACTGGGACATTTTGCATGGACCTGAGGTAAAGGGAGTGGCTATGCACCAATGCAGCTTTGCTTTGAATCAACTGCTTTAAGTTTAGTGGCGTGACACAACATGAAGGACTGCCAGTCTTAACAGGAAGACACAAACAGACAAGATAAGTGAAGGAGAGAAGAACTGAGACCATATTGACCTACTTTAATGAAAAGGTAGACAGCTGACTGGAGAGCAGCACAACTGGTGCAGGTTGTTGGCATGTTATATTTGTGTGTGTATTTGTGTTTAATCTGCTGGCCCGGATCCTGTCTTGGTCTGATTAAGAGGTGGTTGACAGTTGGTCAGCTTTGGGATTTAAACCCCCAAAGATCCTGACATTCTGCTGAGTTACATCATCAACGTTAGACACATGGAACAGTGTAGGTCAACACTTGATCATGATCTCTTATGTCAGTAAAAACATTGCAGTTAAATACCAGCACATGAGGCAATATCAAAATTCCTGAACATATCTCATTTAAAGGGGTCATGAACTGAGAAATCAAAATTATCTTGATCTTTTGACGCATAAGAGGTCATTGTACTATAAAAACATCCTGTGTAAGTTTCAGAATTCAAAACTTTCTCGTTAGTCTAAAATCAGCTTATATTGAAGCCAATCTGCCAAAATGGTGTGGCTAAACTTCACCTCCTCAGAAGATCAACGCCTGCTTCTACATCAACGCCTGTTTATCCCCGCCCACCAATTCGTGTATGTAGTAAGTAAATAACGAGAGAGGCAAACGCAGGTCTACGCAGAAACCAAACGATAAAGATGGCTCTGAAGACAACAAAATGCTTTGCAGTGCCAAGCTGTGGAAAAACAGTCTTTGCATTGATTTCCATCTGATCCCAACATTAGGAAAGAGTGGATTAGCTAGATTTTTTTAATGAAGTTCCAGACCGCGTCAGTAAGAACTTGGTCCTGCTTTGGTCACTTCATTTCACAGCGGATTTGTTTACAAACAAGGCACAATTCAACACAGGATTTTCAGAAAGATTGAAAGTAAAAGACGATGCTGTGCCGAGTCAGCTATGTTGGATCCGACAGTAATGTCGCACCACACAAGTGTGAGTAACTGTTTTTATTATGTGGTCACTATTGCTTTGTCTGTTATTATAGATCGTTTGTACTGATATGTTCTATTAGGGATGTAACAATTCACTCAACTCATGATTCGATTCACAAATTTTTTTTTTTTTTACAAAATGAGATTTAAGACAAATTATAAATAAATATGTCCTTTTATTATTGCTTGGACAAAATGCTGCATGTTTCTTTATGAAATTGAAATATAACACTATAATAATATACTAATACAGCACTTGTATATTATTGCTCTTTTGTTGGTTTTGATTGCTTCTATTGTAAGTCACTTTGGATAAAAGCGTCTGCTAAATAACAAAATTTAAATATAAAGTAAATGTAAATAACAAAACTAAATTAACATTTTTAAACAAGCCCCAAATAAATAAGTAACACACAAATAAAAGAAATATCTTCATATAAAGAAAATAAGGCTTTGTCTGTGCTCTTTCCATTTAAAATTAGAGGCAACCACTGCATTTTAATCATGATCCAAACAAAGATGCTGCATACATGCAACATGAGTTTTTAATCTAAATTACACTGTAAAATTTCTAAATTTGATGCAAAAACAGAATAATTTGACTTCAGTTTTGTGAATCTATATATAAAAAATATCTGCATGAAACAAACAGCAGACGAGCTAAATGAGACGCAGATTCACTCTCTACCAGCAGGTGGCGCTTAAAGCGTTTCCTTGGTTTCCGCTGTAAACAAAGCAGCGCTGCACAGCCTGCACTTATGAACTTTAATATGCTTTATACAGAGGCAAGATCAAAAGAGAAAATACCATCTAAACTTTTCTAACGACAGTAAGTTCCCCTCAGACATGCACTCCTATAAACTCCTACACTTAATTGAATTGCGATTTGTTTGGCATCTCAACCGATTTGAATCGTCACATATTTGAATCGATTTTCAACCGGCTCGCGGTTAATCGTTACATCCCTATGTTCTATAATGCGTTTTTAACCTAAATCACAGCAGCGTCCATCTATGAAGGATGTAGGCTGTCAACAGTTAGCAACAGTTAGCCAATCATAGCAGTGGGCGTTTACTTCCGAGTAGGGATATAACGATTAACCGCGAGCCGGTTGAAAATCGATTCAAATATGTGACGATTCAAATCGGTTGAGATGCCAAACAAATCGCGATTCATTTAGATGTAGGAGTTTATATGAATGTATGTCTGAGGGGAACTTACTACTTACGTCCTTCGATGGTATTTTTTATTTTCCTCTTGCCTCTGTATAAAGCATATTAAAGTTCATAAGTGCAGCGCTGCTTTGTTTACAGCGGAAACCAGGAAACGCTTTAAGCGCCACCTGCTGGCAGAGAGTGAATCTGC